TCCACCAACTCTTTATATAGAGTAAAAAATTCTCCTTCCTCTGCTCTTTTCTTCCATGCTTGATGGATCCACATGCGTTTATTTTTTGCATTTGCTTCATTTCCTGTTGTTTTCTTCGTCCAAGATCACAGCAATCATCAACAATTGGGTATCGGAAAATAGCGCCATTCTGAGAAGCTTCACTGTATACGCCGTCCACGGTACTGACCTGTGTGAACAGGAAGTGAAACAGTCGAAATCACGGGTCGGCAAAGCACTGATACGGCACTGTCTCGTTACGGTCACGTCACGAGTATGTGAGAATCGACCTTTAATGTTGACTTCGAGACCCCATTTGTTATATTCTTCTATTAGCTTCCGAGTCATGTAACTCAAGTCGTCATGATCCTGGGCAATCAGTATTTGGTCATCAGCGAAACATAAGGTGTACAGTGTAGTCTCGTCATTGAGAGGGATTCCCATGCCATTACATTTTCTTTTCCATAGCTTGAGTGCTTGTTCCAGATAAATTTTGAAAAGGGTAGGCGAAATACAGCAACCCTGCTTTAGTCCTTTCGTGACCTTAAATCCTTCAGATATCCTTGATCCAGTTTTAATTTTTGCAGTCGTTCCACTATACAGACTTTGGACTGCTTTTATAAGACCATGCTTAATGTTAGTTTGCTCTAGGGTTGACCATAGTTTACTTAGGGGTACACTGTCATATGCTTTTTGTAAGTCTACGTACACCAGGTGAACTTCTTTATTAAAGGCTGTTTTTTTTCTCAATAACTTGCGTAATAGAGTACAGGTGGTCTACTGTGGATCGCCCAGCTCTAAAACAAGCTTGCTCCTCTGCTTCGTAATCTCTATAGTCATTTTCTATTTTGTTCTTAATAAGTTTCCCATACATCCTACTTATTGTGCTGTTTACCGCAATTCCTCTGTAATTTTCACACTGATCCTTGCTACCCTTATTGTGGATAGTTGACATGATAGATAATTTCCATTCTTTTGGTAATTCGGCCCCACTCAAGCAGTCTTGAAAGAGGTTTCTTAACTGTTCCTGGAGTTTGTATAGGTAACATTATAATGGTACCTAATAGGTACCACTATAATTATAAATTAATATTTTAATAATTAAAAGTTTAAAATATTCTGTTTATATTTTCCTAAATATTCCTGTAACCACACACTGACCAAGTTTTAAAGATTAAAGCGATGCCGTACTCGTACGAGTTTAACTCAATAGATGACCAGCAACGAAACAGGTGTGTCCGCAATACAAATATTCTCAATTATTAAAAGTAATCGACAATGTTTGTGCCCAAGACTGAAATGTAGTGCATAAAAGTTCTTCCCCCTTTTAAATTTAATGTCTGTTTCGTCCCTTCTAAGTGTTTTCTGTTTTAGTGTGTTTTAAATTGTCCTTAATTGTTTTAATTCTAATATTTTATTTAATTGACTTTATAATAATCTACTATTTTGCCAATAGAACTTTATCAAAGAGATTTGATAACTACAAGTTGAAAAATAATTGCACACCCACACAATTTGTACATCTAAACTTATTCATTGTCATAAAACTGTCACCTTCATAAAACAATTACTCAATAAATAACACACATGTCATAAATATATCTCTCGAATAAGTATAAATAACTTTTAATAATACAATAGTATATTACATCACTTTCATTTAACAAACATTCATACACATATCTCTGCTTCATTGGATCAAATCTATCTCCTCAAGAACTTCCCGTTTACTGTCATACAACTACAATAGCAGAATTGAGTTCTCCATTCAACAATACATAGTAGTTTCAACCATGTTCTACCATCCATCAATTAATAGAGTACCGGCATGTAAGTAATGTTTATTTATTTGCTCATTTATTAATTTATTACAATCTAATAGACTATTTTATAACAATTTGTGGGCCTTACCTTGTCTGTTTAAACTTTTAAAACTTTTATACCTTTTTATTCAACTTTTTGAAATAAAACCACAGACATGTAATATTGGCATAATTATTGTAATTTCCAACATCTACTTTGTTTATCTTTATTAGACAACACCCTAATATGGGTTTTTATCATTTCAGCATTTATTTAACTTTGTATCGAGACCTGAAGATGCTTTGCATATTGTAGAAAGCGAAACCGGTCGTCTGATAGTTAAATTAAATTGATTGTAAGTCTTATTTATTATTTCTTTACCTATTCGACAATTTTTGTTTATACATATTTAAAAATATGGCTTAATTTTTTACATTAACTATAAAATATCTCCAGAATTTTAAAACACTTCTCTTTAAATAAGTGTTAGCAAAATATATTAAATAAACTAATTTCACCGTATAGATGGCACAGAGAGTCGTTAAAAATACACATATTTATTTAGGCCAACAAAGTACAATATACATTTCTATAAATGATATCTTGATGACTGCTTACTCTGCATCACGGATCGTGAAATCGATCATACTTTTCAAATGTTCAATAACTTCCAAAATAACATTCGATTTACTTATGAACTAAAAGAAAACAATAAAATTACTTTTCTTGATTTAAGTTTAAAATGTAATAACACTAACCGAATGATAACAACTAACTGGTTTACAAAAGATGTTTAATTCGGAAGATATCTAAATTTTAATACCAACGCATACATAGCCCATAAAACATGTGTTGTGTTCAGTCTTACTGATAAAACAATTAAGCTATCTAGTCCACAAAAACATTCCGCAAATTTGAGAAAAGATATTTTAGAAAAAAATAATTACCCACCAGAATTTTACAATCCTCTAATGAAAAAAAGAAGTGATATTATCAGAAATCAATCTAATTCCAATACCAAACCCAAACCATCATCATCATCATCATTCAGCCCATATTCGTCCACTGCTGAACATAGGCCTCCCGTAGTTCACCCCACAAATTTCTGTCCTGAGCCGCCTGCATCCAATTTTGATGTGTCCGTTTCAGGTCATCCGTCCATCTTGTTGGTGGTCGTCCTCTATTCCTAAAGGCATCTTGTCTGGGTCTCCACTCAAGAATGCGTTTTGTCCATCTGCCGTCCTTCGTTCTCGCGACGTGCTCTGCCCAGTTCCATTTTAAGGTTGATATTCTTTTGATTGCGTCGGTTACTCCCGATCTACGGCGCAATTCTGTGTTGGGTATTCGGTCTCTCAGGGTTAATCCCAACATGGACCGTTCCATTGCCCTCTGTGTTGTTCGAATTTTGTTTGCGGACGTCTTAGTAAGTGTTAGCGTCTCCGCACCATAGGTTAGAACCGGCAGCACACATTGATCGAAGACTTTTCTCTTCAAGCAGATGGGAAGAGCTGATTGGAAAACATCTCTTAGCTTTCCATAAGCTGCCCATGTCAACCCTATTCTACGTATTAGTCCATTGGTCTGGTTATCTCTACTTAAGCGAATTTCGTGTCCCAGATATTTGTATGCTGATGTTTGTTCTATACTTGTTCCAGCTATGTTGATGTTCTCACTCAGAACAAGGATTGTCATCACTTGTGTTTTTGAGTTATTGATCTTTAAACCCACTTGTGTAGAGGCATGGTAGAGTCTTTCGCACATTTCGATGGCATGATCTATGCGGTCTGTTATCAGGACTATATCGTCCGCGAACCTGAGGTGACTAAGCTGCTCTCCATTTATGTTTATGCCCTTTTCGTCTAGGTTTGCACGCTTACACATGTATTCCAATAATGTTGTAAACAGTTTTGGTGAAATGGTGTCGCCCTGGCGAACTCCACGATGAATGTTGAACTTGTGTGTATCTTCATGGAGTCTGACGCATGCCGTGGCATTATCATAGATATTTTTGATGACAGTGGTGTAGCGGTGATCTATTCGGCACTCTTTTAAAGCTTCTAGCATTTTCTGGTGGTTTACTGTGTCAAATGCTTTCTCATAATCCACAAATATTAGGACGAGGGGTTTATTGTACTCTATACATTTTTCGATGAGGCTTTTAATAACTTGTAGATGGTCGTTTGTGCCGAAGCCTGACCTGAATCCTGCCTGTTCGCATGATTGGATTGAAGCCAAACCATACCTAGCAATAATAAAGATAATACTGTCAATAACTCAAACAAATACTATATATCCTTACCATACATTAATGGATTTTCTGAACAAATGTCAAATATGTTGGCAAAGTACATAAATCATCAAAAACATCTGGAAAATATTTTTCAAAATTTCAAAAGTTCATCACTCAAATGTTATTTATAAAATAGTATGTTATTTATAACAGTAAAGACTGTAATCCAACACATATATTGGGCAAACACACCAATACCTGTATAGAAGAGTTATTTCACACGAACATAGTGTACAGACCAACGCATTAAACGCAACAGTCCTAGCCAAACATTTTCTAGAAAATAGCCATTATATTGATTTTGAAAATGTACAGATTTTAGAAAAAGAATAAAATTACAAAAAAAGATGCATATTGGAGATGATTCACATAAAAAAAGATCCAAGATCTATGACTAATAAGACTGACATCAAAGATCTTTCCTATATGTATCATAATTTAATAAATTGAGTTTTTTTTTAAATGCACTACGACATATATTTAAGATACGACCCTGAACCACTTCTATTTTAAGATACCTACCAGATGTCATCTGTCAATGTTAGATATCAATTTTTTAATCCATATTAAAAATGTAAACATCAAATATAACTGTATAGTGTAATGTTTACAAAATCAAGTTCTTATTGAATATGGTAAATTTGTCGAAACCTTTAAGCAATATTTAAGTAGTTTTATTTACAACAGACCGACAAACACAGGAAATAAATAATATTGACATATTTATTTAAATATAATGTGAAATCTATAAAATTATTGTTAATATTTAAATAACCAACTGATAATAAAACATCATCATTACAATTTATTAAATGAATCTGAAATATATTGATACTTATGAAATCATTTATTTTACAATAAAAAAGAACAAATACTAATTGTAAGGAGTGTACATAGTGAAAAATAAAAAAAAAATATAGTAATAAACATTTTCAGTCTGTAGGTTGTATTCATAAACATCAAAGCTTCACTATTCAATTTCCAGCATACACAATCTATGTTGTGTTAAAAAAGCCACATCTACCATCGCTTCTGGTATCAGTAGTTCAGGTACAGTATATTTCAAGGATTCTTCGTAAGCATATAAAATGCTGGTATCATACAACATCATTTTGCTTTGTGTTAACGCCAAGATACAGTTTCTTAACCGTCCTATTATTTCTCTCTCTTGCCTTGGAATTACCTAAATAAAAAAAGATACATTTGAAAAGATAATTATATTTTTCACAGAATTACGAAAACTTTTAGATATTCTCTAGAGCTACGGTACAATAAAAATTACACTGTAAACTAAAAACGTGGACTCATAAACTATAGCAGACATAATAATTCTCATTGCTGATACTTTTGAAAAAGGCTATGGCTAACTGCACCACAGTAACTGAGTTGCTGGTTCCACTGCCTTTTCAAGCAAGAAAACATGAGAACGATTAGAAACGTTCTTTAGATACGTCAAACGATATACAAGTAAATCACAGCCAACCTATGCAGATGTCAATATTTCTGTTCACTGTATTGTTTATAAAAACTTTAATTTATACATACTGAATAGCTTGTTGGAGCTAAAGGAAGTATGATATAATATTACCTCTTCCAAATTTTGTATGAAGCCTCCGACGCTATCTTCAGAATTGACAATAATTGGAGATATCCAGATAAACCCATTGTTTCCCAATATAATGCTTGCTCCTATGGGTAGAGTGTGAAAATGTGTTTTGCTTCTCTTGATCAAAGATGGAAATACCTTTAGCAAAACACCTTGTCCAAGCTGCAAGAGAATAATCATTATACTACAAAACGTTCTTTACCTACACACACATGGGCACACAAATACATACATACATACATATATATATATATATATATATATATATATATATATATATATATATATATATAAATAAATATATATATATATATATATATATATATATATATATATATATAAATATATATATATATATATAAATATATATATATATATAAATATATATAAATATATATATATATATATATATATATATATATATATATATATATATATATATATATATATATATATATTGTTATGATATGTAAAATCGAGAAAAATATTGGTTTGCTTAAAATATTTCAAAGTTCCAAAAAAATTAAAATAATTCAGATAAGTAGGATAATAAACAACAAACATTTCGAAGAATGAAAGTCTTTTAATTTTGGATTACCTGTATTTAACAAAACGTAAGATATTATGCATAAATTATTTTCTTTGTTAAAATATATTTGGGTGACGTGAATAAGCTGAAGTGAAATTCTAGACAATGGAAACGGGTTTTCCAAATATATTTGTGCAGTAATTAGGACAATAGAATAGATTTTAGAAAGATATGTTTTTGTTAGTTCTTAAGAATTGGTAGGAAAAGATTATTTTGTAAATAAGTTTTAGGAAATTTTATAATTGTACGTAAAAATTTGTTTGTGTTATCGAAATGAAGAAATGGGAGATGTATGACGCGTTTTGATTGGATGAGAGTGAAAAAGGGTGGATGGTTGGTTTGAGAATGAGACTTTAGTTAGTTTTTGAAGAAAAAAAGATAGTCAGTTGGTTTCCAAGGGTGCAAGGCGAACGGCCGTTGTTCTCGGGTAGTTTTCCCAGAGGTAGGAAGCAGTAGCAGTGAAAGTTTGTGAGATTTCGTGTAGTTAGTGTATCTGACAGAAGCTGATCCAGTAAAAGATTGTAAGTTATATTTTCTACTTATATTCCAAGAGTCAATGTTCAGGCCAACGAGAGATTCAGTTTATTGAGAGGAGAAGAAGCTAGCATAATTTGAACGATTCGTGCATTTGAAGGAGATCATTAAGGACGATAAACTTACAATAATTTGTTGTAAGATTGCTGATTACCTAGGGAGCTGCTAAGAATAGATAGTGTAGGCTACAAGGAACAAGGATTTGGACCACTCATCATCATAGAGAGATAGTTTTGTTTTTCTGCAGTTTTTCATTCATTGATAACACTATTTTTACAATTACTTTGGAAAAGATATAAATATTTTGATTAGGAGATTTAGAATAATAATTGGGATTTTGAGATTTTAACTAATATTGTTTGTACCATTAATTTTGAAGGTTCACGTACGTAGAACAAAATTTTGAGAATCATTGTAATTCTAACACAATCGAAAATTGTGAATTTTATTTCATTATTTTTGTTTCAATATATAATGTTAGATCGTATATGTTTTTTATTATTCCGGTATTCTTTGGACCTTACCTTTCACATGTAATAGCATAGATATTGAAGCACGAATATAACCCTGAGATAAGAGAATTAAAAAGTGTGATAGAATCCTAGTCATATCATTTAAATAATTTTAATTAATTAATTAGCTAATTAATTGCTAATTTTCGCCACTTTTTACGTAAGCATAATAACAATCTAGAGCTAATTATCAATAATAAAAACAAACACGAGTGTCTTTCTGACATAAATCAATCATCATTATTAATCAATGTCATAATATTGTTACGATAATTATGGCGTTTATAACTATCAATATATTATGACTAATTCTGTTTTCTGTTCCAGTAAATTCGAAGTTGTTTACAGAAACCTTTAGACCCTAATTTTATGAGTAATCCACGTCTCGAGGCTTTTCAAACAGTTGAAAAACGAGTCGAGCGCCTTCACCAAAATACGAGATTATTCCATTATAATGTAGAAGTTCGCCGAATTTTCGAGATGACAACAGTTGTGTATATAAACGACACATTTTTATTTTGCAGTCAGTCATAAGAAGATCGGGAAACGCGGTTTACTTGTAACGAAACGTGACATAAATACATTTGTACAGCTATTTAATAAATTAGTAATTAGTTATCGTGAGTTTTAATAAATTAGAATATAGACAATACATTAGAATAAAGACAAATAAATTAAAACTATATAAATATACAACAGTGGTGTACAGGAGTGGGATTGTAGATAAATTTAATTTGAATTTTTGAAAAGAAGTGAAATTGGTGAACAATGGCTACGATTTACGAGCTCTCAGTTACGAATCTAAGAAGGCATCTTGAAGACAGAGAATTAGCTTCTACCGGAAAAAAGACTGAGTTAGTCCAACGACTAAAGAAGGCTTTGGAGGAAGAATGTTTGAATCCGGAAACTTATATATTTGAAGACAAGCATGCTGCTGTCATCTCGTCGATTTCGAAATTAGAAAATAAGGTTTCCGGTGACATCGCTTCCTTAGAAGACAAAGTTACTAACGAGATTTCTTCCCTAGAAAGCAAAGTTTCTGCTAATATCTCCTCGGAAATCTCTAGAGTCACTTCGGAGATGTCTGCCCTCGATGATAGAGTATCTTCGCTAAAAAACCAAGTTGCTGCCGATATGTTGGCCTTCAAAGAGAAGATAAAAGAGATGGAAAGGAAGATGGAGGAAACAGGGACAGCAGAGAGAGAAAACAATCCAATTATAGCAGAGACCAAAGAAGACGAGACGAAATGTAAGTTGGAAACACGGCCGAAATTTGAAGGAAGCGGGGGTTATGTTCAAGTCAAAGTTCCAACTTTCGACGGAAAATCGTCATGGAACAACTACATGAAACAGTTTGAATCAGCTGCAAGAGCGAATGGATGGTCAGAAAAAGAAAAGGCTGTAAAGCTGACTATGGCTCTTCGACGAGATGCCTTAGACGTGCTCCAGACCATAGCCGTAGAGGAGACGGATGATTTCGAACAACTGAAGAAGAGGTTAAATATGCGATATGGCCACGAACACTTGGAGCATGTATATCAGTCGCAGCTCAAAAATCGAAGACAAAAGAAAGATGAGGCTCTTCAAGAATATGAAGTAGATATCGCCAGATTAGTGCGATATTCTTATCTAACAGCTCCCGAAGACATAATGGAAAAGTTGGCCGTTCAAACGTTTATTGATGGTCTTCGTGATCATGAGATGCAAAGAACACTACGATTAGCTCGTCACAAGACGCTGATGGATGTCTTATCTCCGCCATCGAATACGAGTCAGCTACGCAGGCCTCTGGCGGGTATAGCAAAGTTAGGACTGTAAAAGAGGAAGGAGATGAAGATAAACTTGACCAGCTCTTTAATATGATAAAAAGCATGACACACAAGAAAACAAAGACCATAAGACCGAAGACAAAACCAGAACGCGTCGGCCTTAGGGGAGCAGCTTCGACCCAGAACTTTACCAAAGACCCTCTGATACTAATAGCTTCTTTGAAATGTCGTGAAGATAGTGTATATGTAGATGGAGAAATAAATGGTAAAAAGCGTACGTTGTTGGTGGATACTGGAGCGACCAGAACCATTATACGCCCGACAGTTATAAACAGCCGAAAGAAACTGTTGCCAACGAGGTTGCGACTTCGGACCGCCACAGGTGAAAATGCCAACATTCATGGAGAAATCCAGGTACAATTAGGAATTGGAGCAGAAAAGTTCGTCCATACTGTTATAGTTGCTGACATCGAAGAGGATGTTATATTAGGAATGGACGTAATGAATACGCATGGATTCCAATTGGATTTTAAGAATAAGGTCATCAAAGTTGGTAACGAGGAGGTATTTCTTCATCCACATGATGACAACACTATGCAAGCAGCCGTTAAAGAAGATACAGTCGTGCCTGCGAGAAGTAAAACGATCATAGTAGCGCGGCTACAGGGAATTGTGGACGAAGGAACACCTGTTATGATGGAGCCTTGGAATCATGACGACGAAGTTGGCCGTGGAATCATAATTGGAAAAGAATTGGTGACTTCGGCTAAAGAAATTCCTGTGAGACTTATTAATGTCAATGACTACCCAGTGACCATCAAGAAAGAGACAAAAGTAGGAACTTGTGTACCTGTCACATCCATAATCCGTCAGACGACAACGTCTGATAATTCCAACGATAAATTTGATCAAATGGTCGCAGTTGCTGGACAGTCTCTGAATCAGATTGAAAAAAAGGAAATTAAGGGAATTTCTTCGGCAGTATCGTGATATTTTCGTACCGAAAGAAGGAAAGACGGGAAGAACTACCGTTGTTAAGCATAAAATTGATACTGGTAATGCTAAGCCAACACAACAAGGTTCTGTGTGGATTACCGTTTGCTGAACAACTTTACCAAGAAAGATAGTTATCCTCTGCCTCGGATCGATGACACATTAGACACATTGGCTGGAAGTAAATTATTTTCTACTTTGGATTTGAAGTCTGGATACTGGCAGGTAGAAATGGACCCGGTAGATAAAGAAAAGACAGCCTTCACCACAGGATCTGGATTATGGCAATTCAACGTTATGCCATTTGGACTTTGTAACGCTCCTGCGACATTTGAGAGGCTTATGGAAAATGTGTTGAGAGGGCTATCTTGGAAAACATGCCTAGTTTATCTAGACGACATAATCGTCTTGGGGGAGACATTTGAAGACCATCTGAAGAATTTAGAAAACGTTTTTAATCGACTTAAAGCTGCCCAATTGATGTTAAACCCCAAGAAGTGCCAGCTATTTCAAGGTAAAGTCAATTATCTGGGTCATATAGTCAGTAAAGAAGGAGTGGCCGTGGATAAGGGAAAAATCGATTCTATTAAGGAATGGCCAAAACCAACTGACAAACACCAAGTGAGAAGTTTTCTGGGACTATGTACTTACTACCGGAGGTTTATTAAGAAGTTTGCAGATATCGCTAAACCATTAACGCGACTCACAGAGGAAGCAAGAGAATACCGCTGGGATGTAGACTGCCAGAATGCCTTTGAAACCTTA